ATTGCTTAATTAAATGCATATTTTCGTTGGTTTCATTCAATTTTTTCAGAAGTTGAGTGATTTCAATTGGGTTAACCTGTTTCATAAAAGTCATTCCGGTTAATTCCGACGTTGAAAGCTGAACACCATCAACGTGAGGGATAACAAATTCTGTTTCGTACCCATCGAGATGTGATTTTGTTAACAAATGAATGCTTTCGCTGCCGAGTGTACAATCCGGTTTTAAAGACAGGATTCCCTCCCCGGCTAGCGAGCTGTGAAAAACTTTATCTTTACATATTACATTAATCTTGAACGCTTCCGGAATGACAAATATAAACATGTTACTTTTCAAACTCTCGAAGTAATTTTCTTGCGGACCCTCTGAAACCACACATTTTTCGTTGGACACGTGATTAAAAATGTTCCAAACGCAATTTGCCTTACTCGAAGTAAACCACTGTGTTGGTTTGCTACAAATTAACGATTCTTGACCCTCGAACGGGATGCAGTTTTTAACATCATCGATCAGTTGAAAGAATTGTCTGTCGGTTGACGTGATTAAAAATTTGTGCTTATTTTGAATAAATAAAAAATTTTTGTTTATAATTGTCGGTACTGCAATTATTTTAAACAATTTGAATTTTCTTGTTTGCAACAATGGAATGGAGATTTTAAATACGTATTGATTTAGTAAGCGTATGGTTGAAATCTTGCCTATCGAATAGACTTCCATGCCGCTTGGAACACGGTAATCCGTGCCCACTTGCTTGGAAATGATTTCAACTTGAGCCTCAACCTGCATCGGTGTTAACAGCTCATGGCTTATGTGATTACGTTTTGAATTTGCAACTGCATTGAAAATTGCCGTTTGTTGGTGCTCGAACTCAGAAATAACCAATGTCAGATATGACAAAAAACTCTGGACTTTAGATTCTATTTCGAGTGCATTTGTTTTGTTGATTATTGTGGTTGTAAATTCACCAATTGTCGCCATGTGTCTTTGGTGTTCCGCCTCTTCGTGCTTGATGAAATTCAATGTGGAATCAAAAATTGACGTGTGATTTTTGAGTAACGCGAGCACATGATCTTCATTTTTGTGGATTAACGACATATCTTCAGCGTAATGTTCCTCGAATTTAGAACCGAGTGTTCCAAATAAATCACCAAAAACGTCACCAACGAAGTGCAGAGTGGGAATTGCACGTTTTGCTCTTTTGTTGTCGAAGATGAGTGAATTTTTTGCTTCCAGAAATTCTATTTTTGAGTTCAGATGAGCTATTACATTTCTGCAGCCACTATTCAATGGTGCTTTTCGATAACAAATTTCCTTGACCGTTGTAAGATTTGTGCGTATTGAGTTAAACTCAGACTGGAATTTATTCAAATTCAGGTGGACAAGAACGTTCCAATCTTTGTAAGTCATGGACACATCGTGCGATTTCTCAAAATAAAAACCAGGCGCGGAATCGAAATGAGTTACCGCAAACGGTTGTGATGACAGTGTGCTTTGGTGTGAACAAGTAACAAACACAGCCAAAATAGCAGTGATTATTGGTAAAATGTTCGAACCAATTTTCGGTTTACGACGATAAATCCGCGTGATGTTTGCTTTTACATCAGTTGTTACATCAACCGTGGTGTTTTCTTATTTTGGAAATGCACATAATTTAGCTAGTGGTCGTTTCGTGATTCCACCATTAGTTTTTAGTGAAACCACTCTTGTCAATCCGTCATCGCCCGGGTGTGTTTTTATCACTCGGCCCATTTGCCACTGAGTCGGTGGTAAATTTTCATCGCGAATTAATACCAGATCATCCAATTCTGGAGCATTTTTCTCTTTGTACCACTTCGTTCTTGTTTGTAATTGGTTCAAATATTCGGACTGCCAGCGTTTCCAGAAGTATTGCATTAATTGTTGGACCCTTTGCCATCTGTTAAGCCAGGTCGCTTTGGCCTCAATATGACATTCTTCTGGAGGTGAGATTAAGGATTGGCCAACGAGAAAATGAGCCGGCGTGAGCACCATCAGATCGTTTGGATCGGATGAAAGTGGGCAAAGTGGTCGTGAATTAACACATGCCTCAATTTGCGCCAATAAAGTACTTAACTCCTCAAACGTAAGTTTGTTATCTGCGATTGTTCGCTTCAAATGTAATTTGACGGATTTAACAGCTGATTCTGCTAACCCATTCATATGAGGAGCCCCCGGAGGCGAGAAATGCCATTTCGTGCCGCTTTTTGCCAACTCTTTACAAACCGCCTCGTCGTATTTGTCCTCAAGATCATTCATATTTTCGCACAAGATTTTATTTGATTTAACAAAGTTTGTACCGTTGTCGCTGTAAACATTTTTCACTATACCACGTCTAGAGACAAAGCGACGATACGCGGCAATAAATGCTTCAGCAGTCATGTCCGTGACTACTTCGACATGAATCGCCTTCGTTGACATGCATACGAAGATAGCAATGTATGCCTTCTTTGTTTTGTACGCACGACCGTTCATCAATTTGACTTGAATCGCGCCAGTATAATCGACAGCTGTGTTAATGAATGGTTTTTCGGAAATATTTACACGTTTTTCTGGCAAGTCAGCCATAAATTGATGCATTATTTTTGGTGCTGCTTTAAAACAATCAACACACTTGTGAATTATCGCTTTGATTGTGCGTTGGCTATTTAGCACACAGAATTTTTGTCGCAATACTGCTTCAGTTAGCTTGGGTGCACCATGTAAACAGTTCAAGTGTACGTTTTTTATTATTAATGCTGTTACAGCATGTTTCGATGGCAATAGCATTTGATGTATCGCTTCGTAGGGTAGGTCAGCGTTTTTCAAGCGACCGCCAACTCGCAATACTTGTTTGCTATCCAAAAATGGTGACAGTTTCAACAATGCGTTAGTATTTTTGAGTTCACCCCCTGTGCCTAACATTTTGATTTCCTCGGCGAAACTTTCTTGTTGCACATTTTTTATAATTGCCGCTTCAGCACATTCGAGCTCGTCAGCAGTTAATATGCCAGTTCGTTTGTTTTTATTTTTGGGTTTGTATTGAACGAGAAACGTTGACAAAGAGCAATTACTCGTTTCAATTTTTCATATGTTGATGACTCGGGCAGCGTAAATTTTTCTTTTTCATCCAATTTGGACACATTAACAGCAGCCTCGAGAACTGGCAATTCGAGTTTTGGTTTATATCGCGGTGGTTCCAGAGCCGCATTCACTAGAAAACTCGGACCGTTCCACCACAATGAGTGTGTGCTTAATTCCGCTGGTGAGATTCCACGCGATGCACAATCAGCCGCATTGTCCTCGGAACGTACATGTGACCACCAATCTTTTTCAACGAGCTTATTGATTTTTGCAATTCTTGACCCAATAAATGTTTTATATCTCTTTGGATTGGCGTGGATCCAATCGAGAACGATTCTCGAATCGGACCACAAGCAGATTCGACTGAAGTTGATGTCCAAAATTTTAATCATTTTTTCTGTCATTTGTGCCAAGAGTAGTGCACCACAAAGTTCAAGACGCGGAATTGTAACATTTTCATTGTTTTTGTCTTCTTTTATTGGAGATACACGGGCATTTGCAACCAACAACTGTGTACCGTGTACGATTGACAATATAAATTGCCGCTGCATATCCGGCCTCGGCTGCATCGGAAAATCCATGCATTTCGATGGTGTCTGACCGACTACAATTCACCCAGCGTGGAATTCGCAAATCGGCGATGAATTTCATTTCTGCTTTAACTTTTTGCCACTCGTCAACAAACTCTTGTGGAATGCTATCGTCCCACTCGATTTTGCTTTCGTGACGCCATATTTTTTGCAAGATTTGTTTGCCCATGATCACCACTGGGCAAATATAGCCCAACGGGTCATAGAGCGAGGCAATTTCAGACGTGAGCTGTCGTTTAGTGCGAGGTACAGCATCCAAATCTAACGATACGTTGATTGCGAGCTCGTCGGTGTCTGTCGACCAACAAATACCAAGCGTTTTCGTTATACCGTTAAAGGAATTTATTTCCCGCTCTTCTTTCGGAATACGATTCAAGAATTCATATGAATTGCTGGACCACTTTCGCAGACGAAATTGACCAGATTTCATTAAATCGGTCAATTGCTCGGATAGCATTGCTGCTTCTTCGACGCTATCTGCGCCGGATAACACATCATCCATGTAGCAGTCCTCCCTTAGTACAGGAGACGCTATTGGAAATTCATTGGAACCGTCGATCGAAAGTTGCTTTAATGTGCGTGTTGCCAAAAATGGTGCAACTGCAGTACCGTATGTTACAGTGCTGAGTTCAAATTCTTTGATTGGTTGATCCGGTGATTCTCTCCACAAAATTCTTTGGAGGTGAGTTTGAGATTCATCGACGCGAATTTGTCTGTACATTTTTTCTACGTCGGCCGTGAAGGCAATTTATTGCGACGCCAACGGAGAATTATTGTGGTCAGATCATTTTGATCAATGGCACCAATTGGAAATTGATCGTTTAAACTTTTCTTATTTGCCGTTTTTTGAGATGCGTTAAAGACTACTCTCAATTTTGTAGTAGTACTATCTTTGAACACACAATGGTGTGGTAGGTAATGGGCGTCCGGGTGATAATGTACTACCTCACGCATGTGACCGGAAATAATATATTCGTTCATAAAATCGCAATATTGGATTTTCAATTCTGGATTACTTGTACAACGGCGTTCGAAAGAGAACAATGACGCAAGTGCAGCTCTTCTCGAGTCTCCAAGATCAGGTTTTTCCAAACCCCCCTTGAATGGTAGCATAACCACATAGCGTCCATCTTCATCGCGTTTGTGTGTTGCTACAAAATGTGATTCACACATTTCTTCTTCTTCCGTTAGTGCTTCACCATCAACATTATTAAAGTCATCAGATGCGAAAAAAACGGCTCATTTGTTGTTCTAATTCAACATTAGAGACAAGTG